GTCTGACTTCTAACTGCCCAATTATCCCTAAGTGCCTCCTATCGACCGCTGCCCGTGCTGTCCAGCGCATATTCTGTGCCTACAGCCCCGAGGCTGCTGCTCCATCTGATGGCCTTGTTAGGGCTAATTGCTCTGGCATTTGGGTCTGATGAGGACAAGAATGGCTGGATCCTGCCTGATGTCAGGGAGCTTCATTCTCCTTCCAGTCAGGTACCTGGGTGGTGACAGGACACCTCCTCAGACCTCCACAAACGGACCTGCAGTCATGAGACCACACAGCCCAGGCTAGTATCAGGTCCCTGCTTCACAGCCCACACCAATCTGCTGGGTGGTGGGGAAGTGTAACTTCCCTCTCCCTTCTATCTGGGGCTCACTCTGCACAGCACCAAGACAGCCCACCGTGATGTCCTGAGCAACTTAAATCCCAGAGAGGGTCCCAATAACTTCAGGGCATGTCAGTTGGTGATTCCATGTTCTTCCATCTCTGTGAGCAGGAACACTGGTCCCAGAGCCTATCTGGTGACAAGTTTCTCGAGATCTTAACACCCCGTATTCCTGTAGAGAGTAATTTAAGAGAACTTGTCAAAGTGGGTGTGGTATGTGTTTGCATGTATGTGAGCAGGTCTATATGTATAGTGTGTGTGCATGCATGAACATAATATGGATACATGTATGACTATGTGTGCCTGTTTTATGCATGTACCTGTCTCTCTGCACACGTTTATATCTGTGTACATGTGTTTGTATGTGCATGTGGCTGCCTCTGTGTGCATTTGTATATGTACCTGTGTCTCTGCATCCAAGTGTCTTTGTGTGTCTATGTGTGTAAGCACTATGAATAACTATATATCTGTATATGCATATGTGTTTGTGTGCATGAATATGTGCCTGTCTATATGTCCCTATACATATACCTCTGTGTATATATATTTGTGTGTACTCATTTCTCTCTGAATGTGTGTCTGTGTATGGCCATATCTTTATACATGTGTGTATATCCTCATATATAGATATGTATGTACTCGTATGTGTCTCTGTGTGAACACACATGCTTCTGTGTGTCTATGGTAGACATATGTGCATCTTTATGTATGTCTGTGTGAATATTTGTGTATTTATATGAATGTGTATCTACATGTGGTCATATACTCATATAATTTGTATCCACATGTGAGTACCTATATGTGCTAATTTCATATGTATTCACATATGAACATTTATGTGTGTTCACTTCCTATGTGTCTGCATATGGATACCTGTGTGTTCTCATCTTGTGCATGTAGACACCTGTGTGTGCTCATTTAGTGTGTTTCCACATGTGGGCATATATGTGTATTCACCCCATGTGTGTCCGCATGTGGATACCTGTGTGTTTTTTCTAGATACCTGTGTATTCTGATCATGTGAGTGTTCATGAGGATTGGCGTGGGTGTGTGGCATAGATATACACATTTGCCCAGGCTCTTGTTGAAAACTATGGTGCTGGTTGGAGGTGGCCTTTGGTCTAGATTGTGGGAACATGTGTCCCAAAATGCACAGAGATTTCTACAGTATCCAAAGCTATATGGTAGAGTTAGGATGATTGGTGTGTTTGAGTCCTAGCTCCAGGACCAGGGATCAGGACATCCCTCTCACCAGTCTCCAATTTCTTGGTGTCCTGGGCAGAGAGACTTACATCAGCAGGGTATGTACGGGATAAAGCAGCAGCTTCCACATCAGGGTGGGATCCAGCCCCACCAGTGCTAGGGAGTGGGTGTGCTGTCATTATGGACAATTAAGCATCGTACTGAAAGAGGCGGTGGAGAGAGAAAGGGCCTGTGTGTTGCCCGGCTCCGCAGGCCTAATCGCTGTGGTGACAGAGGAGGATAATTATTCAGGATGACTGTGAAAGGCACAGTCATTGCAGGGGCAGAGAGGGCTCAGGAAAGAGGGAGGGCTGGCTATGCCCAGCACCCACCTGAGCCCAGAGCAGGCAAGAGTCCGCTGTACTGGCTGTGCACTTCAGCCCCGTCTCCTTTCCTTACTGCTAGGGGCTGCATCCCAACCATTCCTCAGCCCTGTAGGTTTGACTTTCTTTCGGTCTGTGTGCTGTTCAGGGATACCTCAAAATCTCACCTCAACTAATCAGAAGCCTCTCCCCAGTCCTGCCCTGCCCTCAAGTGTCTCTGCTCCCTCAAAGTGATGTTTGGCAGCTGCACTGGGGGCCCTGACCCCACCGCTGCTATCTTCCTTGAATACTAAAGTGTTGGGAGCAGGGCAGGGAGCCTGGGCTAGAGACTGGCGGTGTGATCCAGAGAGTTGTGCATTTCTGGAACTCAAATATCCCTTCTGTAGAATGGGTTTGTCTGAAGGTGGAGAGGAAGGCACTGCCCTGGTGTGAATCATCATGATGAGGGTCTCATCCTGAAATGTGCAAGTGGCTAGACAGAACCTGCTTGGCCTTGGGTGAGCTTCAAGAGGAGGTGGAGGCCTCTAGCATGAAGCAGGGTTGAGGCCAGGAAGCCTGACCAAAAGCAGACTTGAGGGGCTCTTAAGGTCCTTCCCATCAAACTGGGGATGGGATAGGGCTAAAGTGTCCTGGACTTCTCTGTGCCTACAGATGCCTCAGACTTGGGCACAGTCTAGTCAGTCAGCCCTGGTGTGTGTATCTTGTCTGTCTGTGTGTTCATCTCTGTGTGTGTCTCTATGTGTGTGGGTGTGTGTCTGTGTGCACGTGTATCTATGTATGTTTCTGTCTGTATGTGTGTCTCTGTGTGTGTGCGCGTGTCTCTATGTGCGTCTATATATGTGTGTGTCTCTGTCTCTCTTTCTCTCTCTCTCTCTCTCTCTCTCTCTCTGTGTGTGTGTGTGTGTGTGTGTGTGTGTGTGTGTGTGTGACTATCCCACAGATAGTACACAGCAGCTTGGGTGTGCTACCAGGCTGGCCATGAACAGAGGCAAGAGTGGGGGCAGCAATTACCTCCCAAGAGAGCTCAAAGACATCATGTTCTCAAGCCTCGGCCAGGTGCTACTTGGGTGAGCCCAGGCACAGACAAGGGCCCTGGAGAGCACACACTTCCCCACTCCCACCTAGCTTCTATGCAAGCCCTTCCAGACAAGGTAAGGAAATTAATTAAAAAGCAATATTTGTGTCAGCGTAAGACATTTGCCGAAAGGTTAAATCCACATTCGTGAAGCTGTGCAGCAGCCCCCTCTGCAGTATTGGATGCAACCCCCTCCTACCCTGTGCCACCTGAGCAAACGCCAAGCTGGGTGGGGTGGACCAGCCTGGGCTTGCCTCACTCAGGAATCCCCAGCACCCTCCAAAGGAGGGGCCTCGGGAGAGTTTGTGCAGACATGGGGGGAGGTCAGTGCAGCCAGTTCTGCCTTCCTGGTTGGAGGGTCCCGGTGGGTACCCATTCTGAGCTGTTGAGAACACTCTTGGGGGAGTCATGGGACACCAGGCAGGCCAGGGCTCTGATGGGCACACAGAGACAGGAGTGGGCCAAGCCAGCAGGGTTGCTGACCCAGGTAGAGCTTAGGGAGGGGCATCGGACATGGTGGGGAGGGGCGGTTCATATAGTAAGAGAGAGTAGGCGTTGCAGAGTAAACAGAGTCTAAACTGGGTTTTACAGGATTCACGGGAGTTTGCTCAGAGAAGGTAGATGAGAGGTGGCATATTAAGCTGGGTATCACAGAGCCCCAGACTCCCGTGGAACAGGAATGGTGTGTGGGGGCGGGGCAGAAGGTTGGCGGGGGCGGGGCCGACGGTTTGCGGGGCGGGGGCGGGTCAGGGGCGGCTGAGATAGGGAGATTTCCTTTTGTACTGACTCAGCATTTATCTTGCTTCCAGAGGACAGTGTTAGCCAGTGAGGGTCACAGCGCAAGGTAGTGATGTGACAGGCTGTTTGGAGAACTCCCGTCCCTGCTGGGAAAGAGAGGGTTGGGAAGGGCTAGGGCTGGTCCAGGTGAGCAGGGCAGGCAGCTCCTGAGAGTGCGGGCCCAGCGAGGACGTCTAGGAGGAGGCAGAGTGCAGCTGTGCAGTGATCAGCTGGAGGGGGAGCTAGTGAGAACTCTTGCCATTTCCTGTGTACTGGGTCACCAGAACCCCAGGGTGGCCATTTTCAGGGTGAGCTCTGTCCTTCTGGCAGACCTTATAGTATCCAGAGAGACAAGGGAGGTAAGAGGACACCTTTCCCAGAAGGGCTGGGGCAGTTGTCCTGAGCCATTACCCACAGGAAGAAAATGACCCCAGGGAGGTAGGACGGGTCCAGTGCAAGTCATCTGCCATGGAGAAAGGTCCCCTCCCTGGTCTCCTTGGAGACCATTTCCTTGGCTGAGGAAAGTGTGTGGGGTCTTTGTGTAAGTGGGGGTGGGTGGTAGCTGGAAAACAAAAGATCACTTGGCGTGAGTCCTTGGGTGCCACGGGAGAGATGAGCACTGAGCATCCCCTAACGGGGGGAGGGGGGCACTGAGAATGGGGCTGCAACTATCTCAAGACCATGAGTCAGGGAGTGAGCAGGGGAGCTCAGAAAGCTCCCCACTAAAGAAGAGGTCTGCTCCCACAGAAAGGGAGGGCAGAGGGCCCTAGGGAGATGCTAGGGGCTAGGGTTGGCACCATCTCCTGGGCAATATCTTCAAGGATGTGATAATCAGGGAAAAAGGAACCCTGAAAAGTGGGCTGGTCTTGGAAACACTGTAGAGAATAGCCTTCTGGGACATTCTGTGTCTCACAGGACCTGAGGATCCAGCCCCTAGTGCCAGCACATACAAGACCAGGGCAGTGAGTAGGCAGCACACTTCGCTACATGGGACTGAGTGAACATGACCTGTGCCTTGGAGGGGACGTTAAGACACCAAAAATGTCACCAAGGGGTTTCTGGACCTACCTGCCACCAGGGGCTTTAGTTTTCCTAACATGAGCCCTTAGGAATCCAGCAAGACCCCTCCTGGGTGCCCTGGTTTGGGCGGAGGGCCGTATCTGTCTCCTGCCCTGCAGAACACCAGCCAGCCCCTGTCCTTATGTCGTGCCTCGGGCTGAGGGTGATTCAGAGGCAGGTGCCTGTGACAGTGGATGCAATTAGATCTAATGGGACGGAGGCCTTTCTTGTAGCCCTCGCTCCGTGCCCACCCCCGCCTCCCTCAGGCGCAGCAGGCGGGGAGAGGATGTGCAGGAGGTAGGAGGTGGGGGACCCAGAGGGGCTTTGACGTCAGCCTGGCCTTTAAGAGGCCGTCCGCTCAGCGAGGGCTGTGAAGACAGAGCCCGGGACCACCAAGCTGCACTATGCCCACCCCCAGCGCCTCCTCACCACAGCCCAAGGGCTTCAGAAGAGCCGTCTCAGAGCAGGATGCCAAGCAGGTCGAGGCCATCATGGTGAGAAGGGCATGCTGTCACCCAAGGGTATCTGGAGCAGTTTCTGCACCTATGGGCGGGAGGATACCCCAGGCTTGGAGTCCACCCAGTGTCTGGCACCGGGGTTGGAATGGGTATCTGTCCCATCCTGTCCCAGGGTTAGTTGGGGCCCTGTTAGCTATTCCTGTACTTGGGTAAGTGCCTCTGCTATGTTCTGCTGGACTCCACGGGGGACAGTCAGTGCCTGTCACCTGGGGCCATCCTTTCTGGGGCTTCTGTGGGCATCTGTGGGTTTTATTTCATGAACTAGGAGGATAATCTCTCTTGGGTGGTCTTGGGAGAGTCCTATGGTTCAGGTCACCCTCCAGTAGTCCCCCGGTTGTCTGCCTTCTTGGGGTTCTCTAAGCTTGCCTGTGACCGGGTGTGCAGTTCCTGCAATGCACACTTCTAGGGAGAGCTGGTCAGTAAATGGCTGGTCTGCCGGCTGCTGTCCCATACAAACAGGACGTGCGCCCAGGTTCCGTTGTGCTAGAAGAGGTCCTAGCTCTGGGGCAATTCCTATACTTTCACCCTTGCCACCTCCCATTGCCCTGGATCTGTGTTACCTGTGTTAGGGAGGCCCAGGGACCAAGGGAGAGGTGCTGCCCAAACACCAAACAGTCCCTCTGCCAGCCTGGACACAGGGTCTCCTCGGCTCCTGAGAAGGGCTTTCAGATTTTCCTTGGAGCCCCATCTCGCCATCGCCCTGGCCTGACAGAGACCTTAATGAGACCGTTGTGACCTTTAGAAAGGTAATTTGCAGGCTCTTCTCAAGAGACGACTGTGGGGTCAAAGTGCCCCTTCACCCGTCTCAGCTGCGTGGCTGTCCCCATGGCCTCCTTGGGAAACGCCCAGTCGTGTGCTCTTCCCAGGAAGCCTGTGGCTCTGGCTGCATCTGCAGTGTCCTTCTGGGAGTCAAGAGGCGGCCCCAGGGGGAATCCTTCTCCATACGACCGTGGCATCCTGAAAGCCCAGGGTGGCTTATTATTTCAACTAAAGGACCCAGAAACTTTTGGGGAGCTTAGCCCCCAGATAAGAGTTCAGGCCCCTCTTCACTCAGGTCCGGGTAGTTCTGGGTGTTGGAGGATCGGGCACTCTGGTTCACAGCTGTGGCAGGCACCCAGCCAGCAGAGGCCATACGGAGGTAACCCGTACTCAGACCTCGACAAGGTAGCCAGGAGGAGGGGGTAGTAGAGGACAGTAGAAAAGGGACAAGGTAGCTGGAGACATTTTTATAGGGGGTATTCCCAGGTGAGAGGACACGTGGACAGGACACCTGGCTAAGAACCCCTTATCCCAGTGATGGCGTGTGCAAGAGGCTCAGCCCCGCGCCTCTCTCAGACAGTCAGGAGGGGAAGGATGCTTGTTTTGACTGAGTATGGTACACTCTGCCTGAATGGACCACCCGAACTAGCCACTGCCCTGTGATGCCTGAGGCTTTGTGCTCCGAGTGCTGCCCATAGACATCAGGAGAAACAGCCTGAGTAACAGTCCTCAATCACTAACCCAGTTAGGTCTATGCCCAGCAGGCAGGTAGCAGGGCACTTCTGCTTTGGGAGATGGTGGCCAGGAGCCCTTGCCCTCCAGGTCTGCCGTGGCTTCCAGGCCCTACCTTCCCACCATGCCCAGTCAGTCAGAACACTGTCCTGTGAGCTCTGTCCTCATTCCCACCCATCATGCAGTGGTTTGACCAGGGCCCAGGCCCTGGAGGCAGGATCAGTGGAGACACCAGCATGGAGACATAGACGTATCTCTAATCTCACCCCCACTCCCACCAGTCCCCAAGGTTCATCGGGCGGCGGCAGAGTCTCATCGAGGATGCTCGGAAGGAGAGGGAGGCGGCGGCCGCAGCAGCAGCAGCAGCAGCAGCAGCAGCAGTAGCCTCCTCAGAACCCGGGAACCCCCTGGAATCTGTGGTATTTGAGGAGCAGGATGGGATGGCTGTTCTCAACCTGCTCTTCTCCCTGAAGGGTACAAAACCCTCTTCACTGTCCCGGGCTGTCAAAGTATTTGAGGTGAGGCCATTGGAGTGCTGGCTTGGTGTGTCAGGGCAAATACACATAAGACACGTGAGAATGGCTGTGTCCCCCTCCAGGGCAGAAATATGGCTGCTCAGACCTGCAGAGGCTAGGTCTCAGGGACTACCCTTCAGCTCCGCCATCCAACCTCAGCGCCTGATACCCACTGCCATACATACAGCCTCTCTTACCCACCTGCCCAGGGGCCTCCAAAGCAGCTGATTACATTACTACTTTGGCTAATGACCTGTCCCCCAGAAAAACTCTCAAATGACATTAAAGCCAGAACCTCTGCAAGCTCCCTGAGTTGACTGCATGGCCTAAGTGTTTTGTTGCTGGGCAACAGAAGGTGGAGGTGACATCAACCATTGCCCACCAGTCCTGGGTATCCTAGTTGCTCTGTCTGGGCCTGGGCCTTGTGTCTTTGATATGGTGGAGTGGGGTCCAGGTCTTTGGGTGTGACCAATAACCTAAATGAGACCATTAGGGCATGGGCTCTTCCATGAGTGGGGGAGTCAGGCTATCTGGTATGACCTCCAGACAGACAGACAGACAGGCCTGTCCAGAAAGGGGGGCCAAAGGCACAGCTGTGCTGATTCCTGAATGGATGCGTGAGACATACCCAATCTATCTATGGGTGACACATTCCAAAACTCAGGCAGGGACGAAACGCTGACCAGGCCTGCTTCTTCCATCTTCCTCTTTCCCACCATTCTGTCTGTCCGTCTCTCTCTACCTCTCTCCATCTCTGCTCCACCCTCTCCATTGCTCCCTATCTGTCTCCCTCAATCTCTCTGCTGCTCCCTCCCGTCTTTCCTTCTCTCCGTTTATCCCTACCTCTCTCCACCCCTCATCGTTTCTCTCCATTGCTCCCTCCCCATTTGTCTCTTCCCCCTCCCCCTTCTTTTTCTGCTTTTGCTCCCAAAGACATTTGAAGCCAAAATCCACCACTTAGAGACCCGGCCTGCCCAGAGGCCCCTGGCCGGAAGTCCCCACCTGGAGTACTTCGTGCGCTTTGAGGTGCCCAGCGGAGACCTGGCTGCCCTCCTCAGCTCTGTACGGCGGGTGTCTGATGATGTGCGGAGTGCCAGGGAGGACAAGGGTGAGGATGGATTTCTGTGCAACCAAATGACCTTGAGGCCTGGCGGGGGGGCAGAACATCCTGCCAGGGGATACCCTAAAGTGTCCACGGAATGCTGGTCTCTCACCACAGAGTGCTGCTGGCTTCACCCCCTCTCTGGTTCTCTAGGAGAACCTCTGCCCTCTAGGAGGTCTCTAGGGGAAGCCAGACCCAGGATGGGCAAAGCTTTCCTTGGGTCCATACTCACCTGAGCTCTTTTGCCTCTATGGCCTGGGAAGTCCCCTGGTTCCCAAGGAAAGTGTCAGAACTGGACAAGTGCCACCACCTGGTCACCAAATTTGACCCTGACCTGGACCTGGACCATCCGGTGAGCCTGTTGTCCTGACTGTGTCCCATAGCTGAGGCCTGTGGGGGTGGGCACAGCTAGGAACTGACCCTTTGTGTGTGGAACGGGGAGAGACCAGTTTCCCCCTGACCTGTGTCCCTCGGCCATTAGGGCTTCTCTGATCAAGTGTACCGCCAGCGCCGGAAGCTGATCGCAGAGATTGCCTTCCAGTACAAGCAGTAAGGAGCCTGCACGTGGGTCAGTCCCCAGCCTGTAGGGAGGGGCGGAGAGGGGGAAGAAGGCAACTGGTCTTCTGTCTCACAGCTTTGCATGTCTGCTTGTCTGTCTCTTCTGTGGTGCTCTGTGTTGGGCACTGGCGTGGCTCCCAGCCACAGCGAGAGACTGAGGCAGAGAGGCTAAGCAGCTGGTGGGGGCAGTGCACCCCTCCCAGTCCGTTTTGTACCTCAAAGGCCTCTGCACAGCGGGTGTAACTTCAGGATAAGGGCCTCACCCCATCTTTCCCACCCTCTCTGAGATGGAGGGGGACCCTACTGATCACTGATCCCCTCCACAGGGGTGAACCAATTCCCCATGTGGAGTACACTGCGGAGGAAATCGCTACCTGGTAAGAACCTGCTGACATGTGCCTGGGTCAGAGCAGGACCCAGCATGAGAAAGGCCAGAGGGAGACACCTCCCAGACTCCCTGTCTGTGAGGGCCGCCCCTGGGAATATTGGTAATAGGAGAGACTAAGGGCAGTTAGAGGAGGGACATCTAGTGGCCCATCCAGAGGTGGTCCCCACTGGTCCCTTCCCAACCCCTGGGTTCCTTTCAACCACAGAAACGCCCTACCCACAGAGCATCCACAGGCCCACAGAGCATCCACGTGTGTGTGTGTGGGGCAGGCTATGAGCAGGTGGGGCAGTCATGGGGAGAGCCCTAACAGCAGGCAATTCCCTGAGACGCTGTGACCTACAGGAAGGAGGTCTATGCTACACTGAAGGGTCTCTATGCTACCCACGCCTGCCGGGAGCATCTGGAGGCGTTCCAGCTTCTGGAACGGTACTGCGGCTACCGAGAGGACAGCATCCCGCAGCTGGAGGACGTGTCCCGCTTCTTGAAGGGTGCGGATGCAGAGGAAGTAGGGCAGGGAGGGGCATCTCCTCTGCCTACCCTGATGTGTGACCCCTTGCAGAGCGGACCGGTTTCCAGCTGCGACCTGTGGCCGGTCTACTGTCTGCCCGCGATTTTCTGGCCAGCCTGGCCTTCCGTGTGTTTCAATGCACACAGTACATCCGCCACGCCTCCTCACCCATGCACTCACCTGAGCCGTGAGTATGCCTCCTGGGGCAGGGGACCCTAAACTTGTGATCCAGTAATATCTGTGCACAATGAGGATGGGGGGGTGGTGTGTGCAAGGCCTTCTTGTCCCTGGGTAGGGACAGGGAACCTGTCCATCCTGTCCATTCTACCTTCCTTCTCTCATGGCCCGACACAGGGACTGCTGCCACGAGCTGTTGGGACATGTACCAATGTTGGCTGATCGCACATTTGCCCAGTTTTCCCAGGTGTGTCTAGGGCCTCAGGGCAGAAACCGGGGTGATGGTTGAGGGGGGGTGGTTGAGCCAGAGATTCACAAGTTTCACGCGGTGGGGCTCTCCTCTTGGGTAGACGTTGCCCTTATGGGTGCAGATTTTTCAGACAAGGAAACGCTGAAATGGAGATAGTTCTGCCAACAGGGGAGTGTAGGTCCCAGGGGAGAGCATTTTTCATGGTTTTGCTGCCACCTGCTGGTTTATCTGGGAACTGCAGCTCCTAGGCTCTTGCATGCCTGGGACGGTACATGTAGCCTACATCCAAAGGACCTCTGGAGAGGTAGCTGAGACCCAGTGCCCTTGCTTCAAGTACAATTCCAGAGCAGAATCTTTCCATACGTCAGCTTCCTTATCTATCCACAGGACATTGGACTTGCATCTCTGGGGGCCTCGGATGAAGAAATTGAGAAACTCTCTACGGTTGGTTTTCAAAGGGCAAGAGCTCAGACCTTCCTTTGTGTTCCCAAGACCAGCCTTCCGTGTTGTGGGCGGTAGCGTGTTGTATATACCCAGAGGGGCTGTGCTTGGTATCAGGTGGTTTTAGGTGACTCTGGTGACATTTGGCAGGTGTACTGGTTCACTGTGGAGTTTGGGCTGTGCAAACAGAACGGGGAGCTGAAGGCTTATGGTGCCGGATTGTTGTCCTCCTATGGAGAGCTCCTGGTGAGGTTACCCCGCCCCCTGCCCTCAGTAAAGGAGATTAGGGCTGCTGGGTCAGGGTGTGGAGGGCGCTGCTCCCATCAGGAGGGTCTTCTCGGCCCAGGTCCGAGATTCAGCCTCCTCTAGAGAACGTGGCCCTCTGCTCGGACCCCACTATACCCTGTGGGAGGAGGGAAGCCCTCCCCGCTCAGTTTCCTTAAGCCCCTGGGTGTGATGCCCCTCTCTCTAGCACTCCCTGTCAGAGGAGCCCGAGGTCCGGGCCTTCGACCCAGATGCAGCGGCTGTGCAGCCCTACCAAGACCAGACCTACCAGCCGGTGTACTTTGTGTCCGAGAGCTTCAGTGATGCCAAGGACAAGCTCAGGTGGGTGAGGCTTTTCATCCCACCTCACCCGTGCAAACCAGACCTGGTCTCCGCTCAGGAGCCCATTTTGCACCCTCAGCAGCAGCGAGTGTAACAAGTGTACATGCTCCAAGAGGGGGCCTTGAAAGTCTGAGGAGGGGGAGACCAGCAGCACAGGGTCAAGGCGAGGTCAAAGTCAGGTCCAGGCCAGCCTTCTGGGACTCCGCAGAGCCCGAGTTTCTCCTCCTCTGAGCACCGCAGGCTCAAGTGGGATGGGGGCAGACAAGGGGGAACAAGAGGCACAGTGGTAGCTAGGAGCTGCTGGGGGAAGGGGGTGAGGGAAATTATAGAGGGAATATGCAGTCCAAAGGTGGGGATACAGTTATACAGGGGTCTGCAGAGGGGAGAAGAGACTGGTAGGATGGCCCTCATCACCTCTCCAGGCCTGTTGTACTGCATATGGCATGTCCACACCAGTTTAGGGACACTCTAGGGCACACAGTCAAGGCTTCCTGAAGGAAGAGGCCCAGCTGAGGAATGCCCTGAAGAGGCCTGCCTGCAAGAGGTGCTGGGGTCTTTTCTTTGACTATGGCCTCTGAGGAGGCTTTAATTTCCTGAGTGTCTAGAACAGGCTTTGGGGGTTTGAGAGACCCAGAAAAACCATTTTCCCATGCTCCCGGAGGTTGCAGATCCTGTCCTGAGTCACCTGACTCCAGCTTGCTTTCTCACCCCCACACCCAATCTCCTGTGACTGAAGGATTCATACTGGCTTCTCTCCCCAGGAACTATGCCTCCCGTATCCAGCGCCCATTCTCTGTGAAGTTTGACCCATACACACTGGCCATTGATGTTCTGGACAATCCCCACACCATCCGGCGCTCCTTGGAGGGGGTCCAGGATGAGCTGCACACCCTGACCCATGCACTGAGTGTCATTAGCTAAAGGCACAGGGTACCACCCACAGGTACCAAGGGTTTCCCCCCCGCAAAGTCTCCAGCCCCTTCTTCAACCTTCCCCAGCCCAGAGACTTTCCCTTGTGTGCAGCTGGGTCATGGGTACCCCTAGAATCTGCTTGTGCCCTTTGATGCCCCCCCCCCCCACGGAACCTCACTGCTTCTCAGTCCTGTGTCTTACTACTGCATGCACTCCAGGGTGATCCTGCTCTGTCCCCTGCCCTCCATGCTGTACACCACCCTGGTCATTAGCTTAATAAAGAAAGGAAATGTCTCAAGGAGTGCTCCTGGTCTCTGCATCACCACAAAGATAGTTCTGGACACTCATAGTTGCTCCAGCTTCACTTGGAGGTTTAGAAGGTTTCTTCTCCCACCTCCCTCTTCCAACCCAAGCCTCCTGACCAGGCAGAAGTTTCTGGTGTCATCTCCCTGTCAATTCTGAGCTCTCAAACAGCACTTTCTCTGTGCCCAGGAGTCTTAGGCACCAAAGAAGTAGACAGAGGGATGAAGAGGGCAAGCAAGACACAGCAACAGTGGTGCCCCACCCACACTATACCTAACGAGACCCAGGGGAAGGATTATATCCTAGTTGAACTCTGAAATGTCTTAAACTTTAGCAATCACTGAGGAAGATGTTTGATTTAAGTGAGACCCTGGGAAGCACCTTAAGTTCCAGTGAGACTCTGGGGAAGGCCTTGGGTCCTAGAGAGACCTTTGGAAAATCCTAGACTCCAAAGTGATTCTGGGGAAGTCTTTGGGCCCCAGAGAGACCTTGGAAAGCCTTTACTCCAAAGCAGCCCTGGGGAAGACCCTAGGTCCCAAAGAGACCCTAATCTTAGGTTCCAGAAAAAACCTGAGGAAGGCCTTAGTCCCCATTGAAACCTAGAGAAGGCCTTACTTTGTTATAGTATGGAATGTGTTAGGCCTCAGTGAGATCCTAGGGAAGGCTTTTATGCCACTGAGACCCTGTCAGTGTCTTAGTTCTCAGTGAGGTCCAGGGTCAGGTCATAACCCAGTGAAGACCTTTTGCCTCCTTGAAGACCTAGTGGAAGATTGTAGGCCACAGTGGGATCTCAGGGAGGCCTTAGGTCTCAGTGAGACACTTGGAAGATATTAGGCTCCAGTGAGATCCTTGGAAGACCTTGGGTCCCAGTGAGACCCTGAGAAAGGTTATTGGCTTATGCTCTACCCCAGGAAAGACCAACGAGACCCTAGTTAAGGTCTTACGGTCCAGTGAGAACCTAGGAAGGCCTTAAGACATAGAGAAATATTGTAGCAGACCTTTGGTTTTAGTGAGGCCATAGAAGAAGGCTTTAGGACCCAGGGAAACTCTGGAAAGCCCTTATCCCCATTGAGATCCTAAGGAAAGCCCTAGGCTTGCTTCTGTGAAATCCAGAAAAGGACTTAGGCTCCACTGATATTATGAGAAATTTCTTTGTCCCCTTGAGAAACTAGGATGGCCTGAGACCCCCTATTAAGCCTTAGAAAAGACTTGGGCCCCAGAAAGACATGGAGAAGGCTTCATGTTCTTGTGAAATACTAGGAAGGGTTTAAGCCTCAATGAGAACACCTGTAGACTCAGTAAGACCTTAGTGAAGCAGTTCTCAGCCTCTGAGTTGTGACCCCTTTGGGGGTCAAATGATCCTCTTCCAGGAGTCACCTGTGAACATAGGAAAACACAGATATTTGCATTACGATTCATAACAGTAGCAAAATTACAGTTATGAAGTAGCAACAAAAATAATTTTATAGTTGAGGTCACCATTCATGAGGAACTGTATTAAAGAGTTGCAGCATTAGGAAGGTTGAGAAACACTCCTTAGGGGAAGGATTTAGTCCACAATGAGAACCTAGAGAAGGTCTTAGGCCTCAATGAAAATCTGGGGAAGGTCTTGGGCAATAGTGGGACACTGGGGAAGACCTTAGACCTCAATGTGACCCTGGGGAAACCTTTAGGTGACTGAGGGAATTGGGGAAGATGCTAGGCCCCAATGGAACTCTGAGGATTGGCCTTAGGCCACAGTGAGACCCTGGGAGGCCCTAGGCCCTACTGAGATCCTTGGGTAGTCCTTAGGTCCCAATAAGACCTGAGGCAGTATCAGGCACCAAAGAGAACTTGAGGAAGATCTTTGACCTCAATGAGAGCCTAGAAAAGTTCTAAAGCCTTAGAATGCCTGGATAAGGTACAACTGAAACTAAGTGGAAGGCCTTAGGGTATAGTAAAATGCTGAGAAAGACAGTTTGCCTCTGTGAGACCCTGAGAAAACTTTAGGTTGCAGCAGGACTCTAGGGAAGGCCTTAGGCCCCAGAGATATCCTGCAAGGCCTCAGGACACAGTGAGACTCGGGAAGGCCATACACTCTGCTGACATCAAGGGAGGGTATAGACCCCTGTGAAACCCTGGAGGACTATATAGGTCTCAATGAGACTCCAGGGAGACCCTTAGGACTCAGCGAGAGTGAGCAGGAAAGAGGTTAGGCCACCTTCAGAGTGGGTGAAGACTGTAGGCCGTGGGAGTTTCTGGGAAAAGCCTTAGGCTCCAAGAGATCCTGGAAGTGCCTCAGGCCACAGAGAGGATGACTTCAGATCACAGTGAAACCCCATGGAAGGTCTAAGGCTCCAGTGATACCCCAAGGAAGATCTTTGGCAGAGCCTCTGTGGTGGTTTAAATGAGAATATCCTTCATAGCTGAGGCATTTGAACACTTGACACCCAACTGGAAGTGTTATTTGAGGAGATTTAGGAGGTGAGAACTTGCTGAAGAAAGTATGTTATGGGAGCAAACTCTGAAAGTAAACAAAAACAAAAATAAAAAATAAAACAACAACAACAACAAAAAACCCTTGCAACCTTGTCAACTTCTAGTTAATGTTCTTTACTCTTGCTTACGGTCAAGGATGTGAGTTCTCAGCTCCCTGCTCCTGCTGCCATGTGTGTCTACTGCCATGTCTTCCTAGTGTGATGTGATGGTGATGGTGATGGGCCCTTATCTCTCTGGAACCTAATCCCAAATAAATTCTTTTATTCTCTAAGTTGTCTCAGTTATAGTGCTTTGTTATAGCAAGGGGAAAGTAGCCAATACAGCCTTATTTCTGTTTGAGAACATATGAGCTTCTAAAGTCTCAGAGGGATACTGAAGAAGGCCTCTGAACTCGGTAAGGCCAGAAGGGAAGTCTTTAAAGTCAAATGGGAATTCAAAGGATTAAGTTACAGTGGGACCCTGGAAAGGACATAGACCATAGTGAACTACTATAGATGATCTCAGGCCAAGTGAAATTCTGAGAAAAATTTCTTGCCTAAGGGGGGCCCACTTGGAGACCATAGGCCTCATTAAGATACTGGATAAGGCTTCAAGACCCAGTAAAAACTTGGAGAAAGTCTTAAGACCTGAACAGAATCTAGGAACTATTGTAGACCTTGGTGAGAAAGGGGAGAAAGTCTTAGGCTCCAGTGAGACCCTAGGGAAAGTCCTTAAGGCCCAGAGAGAATCTGAGAAAGACCTTGGACCCTCAGTGAGAATCAGGGGAAAGTCTTAGGCCCCATAGAGTTTCTGGGAAGGGTCTGAGGATCCCGTGAGAAACTCTGGAGAGTATAAACCCGAGGGAGAATCTGGGAAAGCTTTAAATTCCGTTGAGAACCTTGGAAAACTTTAGGCTCCAGTATCTAGGGATGGCCTTAGGCCCACTGAAAACCTGGGAAACCTTAGGAACCATGAGAACCTGTGGAAAAACTTAGGCCCCATGAGAACCTGTGGGAGGCCTTAAGACATAGTGAGGATGTGGACAAGGCCTTTTGTGTGTCTGGGCCTGGCGTTTTGCACGTCTTCAGTGTTCTCTGACCATGCGAGCAAAGCCTTCATGGGCCAGTCCATCCACTGTATAGTTCCACACTGGGGTCTGGCTCAAGCCCTCAGTGGCCATGTTTCTGTATGCTGAGCACCATACTAGGAAGCTATGTGTGACTCCTTGTCCAGAACTTTCCTTAGCTTCCTCAGGCACTGTGTTTGGGTACTTGAGTTTCCACTTCGGATGCCATATGTAGTTGGATCTTTCTTTGAGTCTCCAGCTCACAAATAACTACACAGAGACTTTATTATTAATTACGAGAGTATGGCCTTAGCTTGGGTTTGTCCAATTAGCTCTTATAACTTAAATTAGCCCATTATATAAATCTGTATTCTGTCACATGTCATCACTTACCTTCTAACACACACCTCCTGATTCCTTTCCATGTCTCATTGGTGAATTCCACTTTTCCTCTTCCCAGAGTCCTCTCTGTCCCCAGAAGTTCTGCTTAACCTTTTCCTGCCTAGCTATTGGCCATTTAGCTTGCTCTTTATTAAACCAATAAGAAAGCACCTTGACAAAGATGTGTATCCGCAGTGTAAACAAACATTCTGTGACAGAAAGCCTTAGACCCCATTGACAGCCTGGAAAGGCCTAAGGCCCCAGTGACTACTGAGAAAGGCCTTAGGCCCCACTGAGAACCTGGAGAAAGCCTCAGGCTTCAGTGAGAGTTTGGAGAAGGCCTTAGATCACAACTAGAATCTGGAGGAGGCCTTATGCCCCAGTGAGAACTGTAGAAAGCTTTAGACTCCAGTGAGAAGCTGGGGAAATAGCAATGCTTCAATCAGTTTTTGTAGAAAGCCTCGAATCACTGTGAGACCTGGAAAGGGCCTTAAGTCCCAGGAGAATCTGAGGAAAGTTTTAGGTCACACAAGAAGATAGGGAAGGCCTTCAGATCTAGTAAAAACTGATCAAAGCCCTTATAAAAACCATGAGAACTTGGCAAAATTTTTAGGCCCCACTGAGTTTCAGAGTTCCTTTAAGCTCCAACGAGAACCAAAGCAAGGCTTTAAGACAGAATAAGAACATAGGAAAGACTTTAGACCTGATTGAGACATAGAGGAATGTCTTAAGCTCCAGAGACAATGTCCAGAAATTGGTAGGCTACAATGAGAACAGAGGAAAGGCCCAAAACCTCAATGAGAATCTGAAGGAGGCCTTAGAGCTAAGTGGAGAATTGTAGAGTGTTGTGGTTTCAGTGAGAACCCAGGGAGGGCCCAAGTCCTCAACAAAAACTTGGAGAAGGCCTTAGATTGCAGGGTGAAACTTGCGGAGCCTCTAAGCCCCAGCAAAAAGTTGTCAAAAGTTTTACACCACAGAGAAAACACAGGGAAGGTCTTAGGCCCAGTGAAAACCTGACACCAGCCTTATAGAAAGTATGAGAACTTAACTAAAA